CGCGCAGGAAAGGCTTCGCCTCGGAGCCCTCGGCGAGAACCCCGAGGCCGCCCGGGTCGGGCCCCCAGCCCTCCGGAGTCTGCGCCGAATCCGAGTCGTCGGGACCCCACGTTCCCGGCACGTCCCCCACGCCGTAGGCCGCCGACCACAGTCCCGGGGGCTCATTCTCCTCCTCGGCCACCTCCGCCAGGAAGTCCTCATCGTCTTCCTCCTCGTGGTCCTCTATGTCGTCCGTCCAGAACCAGGCTCCTGAAGGGGACAAAGCGCGGCCGGAAGAGAGTTCAGAGGAAAGGACAGGAGCGCCGGCAGGTTCCTGACCCGGGAAATGGCAGGTTCTGAGGCACCCCCAGCCCCGCGACCACTGGGCCTCCCTCCAGTCGTGGGCAAGGCGCCTCCGTTCGTCAGAGTGAGATTGCCTATGCCCCACAGCCAGCCCTGCCAAGCCGCGTCGCGGTTAGGAACTGCGCAGGCGGGCGGCATGCTCATGGGCCTGCCCTGCTGGAAGGCCAGGACGCCTCTCCTCCTCCAGTACCTCCAGAGCCCGCTCCCTCCAGGGCCTGCCCCCTCTGACGAAGGGGAGGAGCTTGTCTGCAGGCTCCTGTGAGACCCAAGGCGAGGCCCCTGACGGGGTTCCCGTGCTCAGAAAAAGAGAGACACCAGGGCTGTTTTCCCAAGGGCTCGGCCAGGACCTGCCTTTTAGAAGCACGCACGCCTTCCCAACACCCTCATCTTTGCCATCAGCCAAGGGAATTGATCTGGAGGGTGGGCAGTCCTGCTCTCTGCACTGACCCTAACAGGCCCCAGCAACCGTCTGCAGGTTCCTGCACCCCTTTCCTCTTCAAGCCCAGCTTCCCTGAGAGGCTGCTCTCAGCCTGGACCTCCTCATCTGCTGTGCACTCAGGAAACAGTCCCAAGCTGCCTAAGACCGGGGTGAGCCGTAAGCACATTCCCATGACAAGAGGCCAAGCACACCTGAGTTTCAGCCATGCGGTCCCTTGCCCACTGAGCTATAGTCCTGACCGCCCTTCTGCCCTCCGAGAGGGCAGAGCAGGGACACAAAGTCAAGGCTGTAGGGCTCCTCCATATATGGCCCATTTGCCTGCCGTCATGATACACCCAGAATGAACTCATGTTTATAGAGCAGGTGCTAAGTCACATGGAACACGAGGGACGATGCCTGGTCTGTGGTGACCCCAGGTGTTCCAAAGCACTGACGTGGCTGCTCTCTACACCACACCATGACCACCTCAGAGTCAGCACCTGGAAGGTTCTAATTCTCCTCACTCCACCTGGGCCCCCTGCCAAGACTCTGGCCTCTATCAGGTGTCATCTGGCCAGCTGAGCCTGCACTACTGAGCCCTATCCTTGAGGGAAGGTCAGAGCCCAGGAGGTCCCAGGACGCGTCGGGAGGCCCTCATGCCGAACGCTGCCTTGGCACAGCTGTGCTCACACAGCATTCCATATGGCGACCTAGAGTCACACAGGAAAACAACTGCACAGGCCTGGCTTCAGCTGTGAAAAATACAGGGATCCTTATAAAAGGATAAGAAAATGAGTCTTTATAGGCCAGGCACGGTGGCTGAAACCTGTAGTCCCAGCACTTTGGGAGACCAAGGCAAGGAGTGAGTTGCCTGAGCCCGCGGGTCCGAGACCAGCTTGGGCAATTTGGTGAGACCTCATCTCTACAATAAATCAAAAAATTAGTTGGGCGTGGTGGCCTGTAGTTCCGACTACTTAGAAGGCTGAGGCAGAAGGATCACCGGAGCCCAGCAGGTCGATGTTGGGGTGGCCGTGAGCATGCCACTGCACTCCAGCCTGGGCAACAGAGTAAGACTCCAGAAAAAGCAAATGAGTCTTTATTTTTTTAACACTCTGTAATACTTTCTAAGTTTTATATAGTTAGTAATGTTATAGAAAACATATAGAGAGAAAGGGGGTCTACCTCTAACTGCCACCTGCAGCCAACCCATGAGTGACAAGAAGTGGCTGTGTCCCCTTGAGCAGGCAAAAAAGCATCTCCTCCTTACCGGATGCCCTTCTTTGTTTGGCAGCAGTGCTCCCCAAGTCTGGGAAGGCTGGAGTACCCCTATGGGGCAGGGAGGAGTTGGTGTTCGAAGGACAGGGCTAACGGAGCAATCGAAAGGCTCCCACCCGTAGGCTCTGATGTAGGTCTTGAGCAGTTTTAATTAGAGACCCCAAGGTAGAGAGAATTCAAGTGGAGGAACAAGTACAACTTTTTAGTGGCGTGAGTCTGTGCACCCCAGGGCCTAGCCAAGGATCAATGACCATCTGCTGGATGAGTAAGTCTCCAGGAGCTGGACACCCAGGGCAAGTGAGAATCCCACCCACAGCAGTCTCTGCTCCAAGAGCCAGAAAGGAGGGCCAGGTCCCAATGACTTCTGACAGCACCTTTTCCCTGGAGCCTGAGAGCGGCGGGAAAAGCCCTCTGACTTGGGGTGAGGAGCCCCACCCTCACCGCAGCAGGCTCTGTAGTGGGGACCTCCCACTAGCTCTGGAGATGGCACGGCCACTTGTCCAACAATGGGACAGGTGTGGGCCACATCTAAACGCGTAGCAAGGGGATGGAGGCCAGCTAGGCAGCGGGCAAGAGAGGAACAGCATCCAGGTCCTTGGGAAGTCAGAGCTGGCTGCACCCTGAGGGGAGATCCCAGCAAGTACCGGGGCCACTGGGAGGGGACCTGGTGGGCACCCAGAAGACCAGCCCGCCTCAAGGCCGGGCTCTGTTCTATTTTCTGCTGCCAACATGGACAGGAGCCCTGGAGTGAGGATGTCCAGTAACAATGACTCCAGGAACAGGGCTCCAGGGAGTTTGCTGGCTCTCAGATCCAAAAGCCTTTTTGGGGTCCAAGTGAGGACTCATCAGCTCTACTTAGCAGACCCAAGCCAGGGGGTGACAGGATGCCCTGAATGGGAGGGCTAATGGGGCATCTCTCGACAGCTGGAAGGCAGTTGGCCAGCGGGCCAAGCATGGCTGTTTCCTCCGGAACCACAGGGGGGAGTGGGGGAGTGGGGGAGAGGGCACCCTGCGGATGGGGCTGGCGGTCCATCTCCTTGCAGCTGCCATTTGCACCTGAGGATCCCAACCTTGGGCGGTAATCACCTAGACCTCTGGGCAGATCCCGAGGGACCACAAGGGGTTAGGGATAAAGGCAAGGCAGGTCGAGGCTCAAGTCAACTGTCCAGGGAAGGAGAACCAGCCAGGACTTGGCCACGAAGACACCTTCACAACCTGTGTCCTGACCTGGGGACAGAGAGTCCCACAATGTAGAAGCAGTGACAAGCTGGACGAGGGGAAGACCATCCAGCAGGCCAGGTGCTAAGGGAATGCATGAAAGACCTCAGGACTGAGGCTGTCACTGTAAGATATCTTCCACCTCCCTCCACACACACCAACACCTGGCTCAGCTGCCTTCCTAAAGTAAGTGATACCTGACCTGCAAAGGGTCTTGAGAGGTTCCCCTTCAAGTTTTATTTTTGTGTGTGTTTTTTTAAAGTCAGGGTCTCACTCTGTTGCTCAAGCTGAAGTGCAGTGGCACAATCACAGCTCAACCTCCTGGGCTCAGGCAATCCTTCCACCTCAGCCTCCCAGATAGCTGGGAATACAGGCAGGCACCACCACACCCAGCTAATTTTTTTATTTTGTAGAGTCAAGGTCTTGCCATGTTGCCCAGGCTTAAGCAATCCTCCCACCTCAGCCTCCCGAAGTGCTGGACCACCATGCCCAGCTCCTCTTCAAATCTTAATAATGAGTTTTCCACACAGGCTTACCATTCCACCATACCCTACCAAAGTCAGTCTCCTAAGGCTACAGCCCTGGATCTGCTCAGCTCTACGAGGACTGCATGGGCCAGGCAGGGATCCTCGCCATCTCTCCCTCTGCTTTATCTTGAAAGACAGCTCAAGGGCACAGGCTCTGCCTGGGTCTGAACCCCCCTTCGTGACTTTGGGCAAGTGATTTAGTATCAGTTTCTCCATCTGTAAAACAGGTTTATAACACCTGTCATCCTACCTTGTGGGATTGTTGCAAGGATCAGATAAATGAATAGCTATAAAGCATCTACAAGAGGCCATGAGGAGTATTACCATTGTTACTGGAATTAGGTAACAATTAGGCACTGGCTGCCATGTGTCACTGGAGATTCTGAGGCCTCCCCTGCTGATTATCCTTTGTCTTCTGTCCGCTGGCACTCGGGTTGTCCCTCAAAGATTAGGCTATGCTCCTTTCCTCCCAGGCGCACGTGGTCTCAGACCTTTTCTCTGTGAGGGTGGGCCCCAGTCCCTAACCTAGGCAGGCCACTCACCAGCTCTGTGCTCTAGGCAGGTCAGCTCTCCTGAGGTCACTTCCTTGACTGGACCAGAAGGAGCAGAGGGAGGGGAGGCTGTGAGGCAGGGCACCCTCCAGCTGGCACTTTCCTGGCCTTTCCTAGCAGGGTGTGTGGAGCCAAGGTCCTGAAGAAGAACCTGAATGCACCGAGATCCCCAAACGCAGGAAAGGTGGTCCTCTTCACAAAAGCTGTAAGTTTACCCAGAATCCTGTACACAGAACACCAGGCTCCCTAGCCTCTGTTCCTAGGTCCTGGCTTAACTGTACAGGAGACTGGTGATAATCCTAGGGGCCAACCAACGTCCCCATCAGCCACGGCCCATACCCACATCTCCAGTAAGTGTCCTTGACTGAGACACAGGGTGGGGGCTGTGCAGGGCCCCAATTAAAGGGCCCTGGGGAAGACGGTGGTCCCACAGCTACACACTAGCCTAGGAGATAGGGTCTCTGGGCTTACTCTGACTGAACAGCTCCATTTTTCTCCCCCTGCCAACCAATCCCTGCTGGGGCCCAGCCCTAGGTGCAAGCCCTGGAAGTCAGCTCCCTAAGTGAATCCAACACCTGCTCCCCACCTGTACCATGCTGTGTCCCCCACCCCATGAAGCCTCCTCCATCCAGACACAGGGCTCAAGATGGGCTCAGGGAGAGCCCCTCCCTCACTGGGGACGGTCACAAAGGGAGGAGATGGACTGGGGCGATGTGCCCGATTCTGCAGGTGTTCGCGGTCTTTTTTCCTTCTGAGGACTTCCAGGGAGACGAGGATGGCATTGGCCCGGTAAGTCTGTGCTGGAGCCTGGAGGAGGTGGTGGCTCCTGGGCATGGCCAGTGTATGTGCTGCCATCTGTCCTCGCTGCCAGCTCTGGCCAGGCAGACAGGTCTATGAAGAGGGGGCCCTCCTCTGAGGGTAAGCAACGGGCCCTCTAGCTGGTGGGTGACCTCAGAAGAACCAGCGGCCTCTCTGGCCTCAACCCCCTCATGTGCAAAACGCAGATCTAAACGCCAGGGACTACGTATTAAGAGGAAACCAAGGGCTGGCCCTTCCTCACATGCAATTTTGGAAGACAAAAGCACTCCTGGGCCAGGGGACCCCGCCCTGCTCTCACCTTTCCCTCCTCCCGCACCCCCTGTCACCTCTGAAACCTGAGGCCGTTTGTACCAGGGCACTCAAGAATCCCCTCCTCTCTGCCATGGAGTCCCTCACTCCTCTACCGGCCCCGAGCTTAAGGGTCTAAGGTAAGACAGGACCTGAGCCCCTTGTCCCCTAGGACTAGAGAAGGGGGTTCAGTGACATCCAGTGTCCCCTCAGGGAATGACAATGAAGGGAAGCTTCCCTTGACAGACCTCCCCAGGTCCCAGTGGGAAGACAGGCACAGCCCAGAGGCTCACAAGTCTGTGAGGTAGAAACCACCTGTTGCCAGCCTCTGCCTGCGAGTAGCTGGGGCAGGGAGCACCTGAGGGCGCCTGTGAACTAGGCAGCCACTGCTCAGGGTTTCTTTCCAGCACCACTGACTGTGCTACTTCCCGACCATCAGATCCTGTTACCTTAGTGTGTCTTTACCTCTTACTGTCTTTTAAACTCATCTCCAGGCTTTCCTGTGGAATGTTTAAGCTACTTAATTCCTGCATGTTGTACTTCCCTTCTATCCTTCACCTTTAGAGGAGGGGCAGGAGCAACAGACACGGGGAGGGGGGGGACAGTCAGCCCCCCTGGGAGCCAGGCTCTGCCACTGGCTGTCACAGCACCTGGAGGCTGCTGGAAGCCACTGCCTGACTCACCATGCGTGTCCTGAGCACCAAGGACACACACAGGGTGAACAGAGCACAGTGCCTGCGCTCATGGAGCTGCAGCCTGTGCAGGAGGTGGGCAGGAACCAGGAAGCTAGTACCTAGGCAGGCTCACTGTGGGCCGTGTGAGTGCTGGAAACATTCTGGAGTTGGGGGGGGGCTGAAGTCAATGTCAGAGAAGACACAGTTCAAGGGGCCCTGTGAACTGAACTGAGCCAGCCACATGACAGGCATTCAAGATCCTGGCCGAGGAAACAGCAGCCTGAAAGCCCAGAGGCAGGCAGGAGGCACAGAGAAAGGCTGTCCAGGGCTGAGCCTGAGGAGCAGGGTGAGAACAGCCTGGGGCGGCGGGCCTCAGGGCATGCTGGAGAGTCAGCCACCATTCCCAGCATCCCCAGCACTCGAGGAAGCCTCCGAAGGGCAAGGCAGCTGGCCAGCAGCTGAGGGCCACCTGTTGCCACCTGCCGGCCACCATGGGGGTAAAGCAAGGGAGGCAGAGGGACAAGCACTGCTCAGGCGCGTGACCAGGCCCACTCGGGTACTGGGGACGCTGCAGGAGGGGCCTGGGTGGGAGAATTCAGGTCCACCCTGAGATGCTAATCAGATATCCTAGAGGAGACACCAAGTGGACAGCTGGACGGACGAGATCAGCAGAGAAAAGTCTGGGGATGGGCAGTGCAGAGTGCAAGTGCACTGAATGCCTGGCACCACTTGAGGGAATCCAGGGAGAGAACTGAGAGGGCCTGATCTGTCTCAGAGCCAGCAAACAAGGCGGGGAAGGCAGCAGAGGCCAGAGATCCATCTCAGAGGGTGGAAAAGCCAGCCCTACAAGGACTCCAGGCTGGACCGCCAGTCTGAGACAAAGTCAGGGTAGGCACAGCTTCTTTCAGCCACATCCTCTGCTCCAGTGTAGACTGGGGGCCAGCAGGAACAGGTTCAGCCAGGGACAGGGGTCTGCCAGGCAGCCACACTGGGCACTCAAAAAGGGGAGCCCTGCAAGCCAGGCCAGGAAAGGAGGAAGGCAGGTAGGAGAGGGCGGGGTGAAGAGCTGAGGGAGGTGAACAAGCCCAGGGAGCTGGAGGCAGGTGCTGAGGGCCTGAAGGGCAGGCAGGGGCCTCAGAGGCCCTCAGGAGGGGTGGGCGCCTGATGGGGCGGTGCCAGAATCCAGATAGCATATGTGGCTCACCTTGTCAAAGAGCACAAGACAGCAACACCCTTGGGTCTTGCAAGATTACAGTCTAGAAACATAAATTCTGTCAGCCCTGGAACAGTTTGCTTCTGTCCTGCTCAAACCCAGGAATCTCAACTGACTCAGCTGAACAGAAATGAATGCAGGGAATGGGGGAACAGAGGGGAGGGAGACCTTCAGCACACAGCTACAGTTCAGAAGGGAGCCCTCAGATGGCTTTGCTCTGCCTAAGCTATGCCCAGCCTCTGCCACTGCATCCCCTCCCAGCAGACACATGACACACGAAGACTGCGCGTGGGTCCCATACCCACCAAGGGCTCTGCAGACTATAAGACCAGAGGGCATCCCAGGCCCTCCAGCCCCAACACCATGACTAGCCACAGGAGATGGCAGGGGCACTGGCTAAGCTGGCCAGTCCCCTCAGCACAGGTCACATGGTACATGTTACCAGGGCTAAAGGGGTACCATGCAGGCTGGAGTCTGCAAAAGCCTCCACCCCAGGACCCTCCAAGAGGCACATGCAGACCACATGCCAAGGCAGGCCTGTGGCCCCTTCCCCTCTAGGCGCTTTTCTGAGATAAGTAGAGCATACTTTCCACCAAGGTCCTCTGAGGAGTATCACCTCCAACCCAGCCTCATCCTGGAGGCAGCAGTGATATTTCTTACCAACCAGAAACCTCTTGACTTTGAGGCCCAGGAAAGAGTCCAAGAGGGTCCCTGAGAATTGGGAGAATCAGGACAGGAACGGCATCCTGCAATGCAGTGAAGGCAGACTGACCCACCCTAACAATCAGTGTCAAAGTCAATTTCCTCATCTGTCAAGTGAGGCCAGCAGTCCTTCCCCTCCCTTCACAGAGCTGTCAGGATTATAAGTGCATGTGAAAATCCTCTGTGGGCATATTACTAGCAGTGTGTTTTCCCATATCTTTATTTTAAGACACATCTAGGTGTTGTTTCGTGTCTTCTCCCTACCAGTGTTGTCCAGCCCCAGGCCTCCTGTAAGAAAACGGGCCTCCATGAAACTCCCTGAAACCCCAAGAATCACTCCCAGATTCCACAAAGTACCTAGACACAATGTGAGAGTCCAGCGTCCTCAGGCAAGAGACTACGGATTGAGTTCAAATTCTTTATTCTTCAGATGACTAAAGAGAGGCTTAGAGAGTTGAAGGAACAGAGCCAGAGCTAGGTCCAAGGGCTCAGAAAAAATTCACCATCCCAAATGCCTTATGTACCCACTGCTCCAAAATCTCTCCAGAAGGCCCCAAACTACCTGCCCAGGTCAGAGTCCCACCCCCAGGCCTTCCAGGGAGAGCAGGGGAGGTTGAGGGGACTCCTTTCTCTAGAGATGGCCAAATAGGCAAAGAGGTCAGAGGACAGTGCTACAGGATCAGAAAAGCCTGAGCAACAGTATGCTGGACTCCTGCTTCTGGCCCTGGTTCTAAGCCGACTACCTGACAACTGGCCCTTTATGTACAAAAAAAGTCACAGGTTCCAAGGTGGGGACAGGGAATCATTTTTGAAGGTTCCTAAGAGGAGCCTTAGGTTCTCTAAGGACCGTTTAGCCCTGGGGTCTCCCTGTAGGTAGAACCAAGAGGATCCAAGTGGCAAAGGCAGAGGCCAGCACAGGGTAGCCCCTCTCTACCCTAGCCTCTCAGCATGGGGACCGTCAGAGGCAACAGTCAGAGGGACCAAGCACCAGAGCTGCAGAGAGCTTGGGTAAAGGCCAAAGTCTGACAACAGCTCCAAGCAATGTCCATGCAAACCCCACAAAATTCCATCTGATGCTCACCTGTGTAGACACCAGTGACGATGTCTCCTTCCTCAGGACGGGGGCTGTCTGGGACCCAAGGTTCTTCTCCTTGTTCCAGTCGGAAGATCAGATCGGGCTTGGGGATTGGGTATCCTGCCCCGGAGAACAGAAGGCAGCTACAGGCGGCTCCAGCAGCCCAGCCCCATCTCCTCCCCTCACCCCCACCCTATCACCACCCACCTCTCCTCTCCTCCATTCTTCTCTGGAGCAACCCACCCCAACCCACTCTGCTTGGAGATCCCACAGTCCCTCCTCTACGAGCCTTTCCCTAGCCACCCCCAC